GCATTGGAATTAGGACTTGGGAAGTGGTTCCATAGCCAGGGGTGGAGCATAACCTGCTTTGGAATTAGGACTTGGGAAGTGGTTCCATAGCCAGAGGTGGAGCATAACCTGCTTTGGAATTAGGACTTGGGAAGTGGTTCAAAGCCAGGGGTGGAGCATAACCTGCTTTGGAATTAGGACTTGGGAAGTGGTTCCATAGCCAGGGGTGGAGCATAACCTGCTTTGGAATTAGGACTTGGGAAGTGGGCACTGGGGTGTCCCACCCAAAGTGTGTTCCTCAGCTCAGAAACATGCCAGCCACGTGTTCTTTCAACGCTTGCTCTGTTTTTCAGGTGAGGGCTTCCACAACTACCACCACACCTTCCCGTTCGACTACTCGGCCAGTGAGCTGGGCCTGAAGTTCAACCCCACCACGTGGTTCATTGACTTGATGTTCTGGTTGGGGCTGGTCACTGACCGCAAGCAGGCTCCCAAGGAGATGATCCAGGCTCGCAAGGAGAGGACTGGAGATGGCAGTGCTTGAGGAGTGATGCTTTTGCTGGGCCACTGCTGTCACACGGGTGGGTGGGGGGTGGGTGGGTGGGTGTGTTTGCACCCCCGTGCCTAGGGTGGATTTCTTTTCCTCTAGGTATGGCTTTTTCAGATCAGTTGGGCTGAATGAATTGCCCAGGAACAGGTTCAGCCCCAGCTTTTTTTTTTTTCCCCTTGATTGGCTGTCTCATGTCCAAACTCCAGTGTAAAAACGTTACGTATTATTTACTAATAGAGTTAAACAGGAGAGAGATTTGAGTTTAGTCACTGTAGTTTGTGTCTGAAATACATTGTAATTTGCTTGTTCCTGGTAGTCCTTGGAGAAGCTAACTATCCTTTCCTGCAGCTGGGGGAGATTTTTCTTTCTGCTCTTCATCACATGTGCTTTTGAGACATATCTCTCCCAGGGGATGGGACAGGCCCCAGTGTGCTCTTTCAGCTACAGGCTCGTGGGAAGGGCAGTAAGAGCACTGATGAAAACCAGGATGTCCATGGGGAAGAAAAAATCAGCCTAAATGTATGGAGACCTTAGTTTCAAAACCTGTGTTCTTTTGGTTAGCCCTGTTAGCCAGCCCCGTGCGCTGCTGTCTTTGCTAAATATGAAAACCATTTATTGCTGAGCAGGCTTTTGTGTTGAAGATTAGTCTCTATACAGGCCAAAAATACCAGCTGATGCTGTGTTGGGATGACTCCTTTGTTGTCGCATATACATTGTAATTTGTAAAGGCTCAACCATGTCTTTCAGCCAAATCCAGCTTCAGTGTTTGGAGACCTGAGTTCATATTCTAAGTGGTCATGGCCATTGGTGCATGCATGTTTTTAGCTCCTTTTGCACAAGAAGCCTCTTAATTTCTTCTTCTGCCTTTGACTGGTGGGGGTCTTTAGAAGACTGACCTTGATCTAAGTCAAAGTCTCTACTGGTATTTCAGCTGCATGCAACATCCATTGGTTTCTGAGCAACATGTGAAGACAGTTACGTAGCTTCTGAATTTGAACAGTTGCCTTGTTTTAAAAAACATAATAATAAAATATTAAAAAAGCTTTAAAAAAAAAGAAAAAAAAAGGCATGTGGAATTAATGGCACATATAGCCCTTTGTGTTAGATGATAGCCAGTGCAGGAGAGAGGCTTTGTACTGTCAGCACTGGAGCACTTTTGAAGGTAGAGGGCCTGATTTTCCATTTTCCAAAGGTCGCTGCCTTGCCCCTTGGACAGGGAGTGCCCGTTTTCCAGCTCGGCCTCACACCTTGAGCAAGGCAGGGATCTCAAGAGAACTGAAACTCAGGCCCGGGTATTTTCAGGAAAGATGTAGAACTGGAAAGAAAAATAAATAATAAAAAATAAAACAATTTTGGGTTTTGTTCGTTTCCTGTTTTGTTTTGGTTTTTTTTTTTAAAACGATGCCATATGATATTAAAAGAGTTGTCTTTTTTCTGTATTTCATCCAGCAGGTGTTTTAACAGTGTTACTTTGCCATGAATGATGTGTAAACTCTTGAGTGATTTACAATAAACAGTTATGAGTTAGACTGGCTGCTGTGCTTCATTTGCAGAAGTATCGCAGAGCCAAGGGCTTTGTGCACCACACATCAGAATTCCAGCAGTGTTTCACTTGGCATTTTCAGATATTCACTTGGTGCAGCATTTCCAAAAATATTTACCCCTTCATCATCTCAGGGTTCTTCCTCAGTGGAAGAGGAGTGTTGTCAAATGGAAGGGCACCAGGAGACTTGATTACTTTGGGCTTAGTGGCCAAGCTGATAGAGAGGGGAGATAAGAACATTCAAAAGGTTGAAAGGAGACCATGGCAAGATCTTGCATGTGAAAATCCCACTTCAATAGCAAAATGGTAGCAAAAATATGAAGTATTTTGTTTAGATTTTGCTGTAAGTTCTTTATTCTGCTGAGATGTGCCTGCAAACCACCTGGGGGTCACACTTGTTGTGTCTTCATTCGTCTGGAGTCAGGGCTGTTGGGCAGACACTGGAATTAGTCTTAAAGGAGTGGGAAAGGTCACCTCACCTACAAGGTCAGAAACCTCCCAGATCTGACAGCCCATTTTCACCCAGACCTGCTGGTAAGAAGGAAAGCTCAGTTGCTTCCTTCTTCACAAGGGTTGACAGGCAGCTGGAGGGTGGCAACAATAATTCAGTACGACGTAGGCGATGGCTTTGGACTCGGTATTTGAGGTTAGGAGCAAAGCTGGGAAAGATGCACAAATGCCTGATCTTATTGTTGCTCCCATTTGTGCAAAGTTGTAGTTTGGGGAACTGCAGTGAATGCACTTTACAGGCACATGGATACACATCTTCCTGTTGATCTTGATCATACTTCAGATACCTATTTTTTTTTCCTTTGTAATTGCTTTTACTTGGACTTCCTTCTCTCAAGTACACGGTGTACAAATAATTAACTGGCCCTGCCAAGAGGTACGTGCTGTTCTGAGCCTCTTGACTACCTGAAATAACAAGAGAATGCTATTATTTTTTTTTTTCCTGGCAGGTATAAGACAACTGCAGCAACTGCAGTTCCAGTGGGACTCAGGGAGCTGAGATTTGGAAACCATTGGCAAGGGTACCCAGCATTTTAGAAAAACTGGAAGTAAAGAAACACCATTCAGAAAAATAAAAGCTCCTCCAGCAAGTGTCTTGGAGCTTGTCTACAT